TGTGTGTGTGTCGGTTTGTGTGTGTGTGTGTTTTTGCGCTTGTGTTTGTGTCTGTGTGTGTGTTTGTATTTGTCTGCGTGCGCGGTTCTGTTTGTGGGCGCGTGCGTTTGTGGGCCTAAATTTGTGCTGGCGCTTCTGCTTTCGTTGTTGTGTGTTTGTCAATTGTTGCGTCCTTTGTACTTTGCATTACTCTTTGTCGTTGTCTTTGCGCTTGCGTCGGTGTTTGTGCTTGCGGTCGCACTTGTTTGTCCGTTCGCTCGTTGTTGATTTGCATAATAGCTTGCGTGTTGCCGCGCTTGCTTGCTTGCTTGCTTGCTTGCTTGCTTGCTTGCTCGCTCGCTTGCTTGCTTGCTTCCTTCCTTGCTTGCTTGCTTGCTTGCTTGCTCGCTCGCTTGCTTCCTCGTTTGGATCGTTTGGTTTACTTTGTTTGTTTGTTTGGCTTTCTTTGTTTGGTTGTGTGGTTAGCGTGTGTGTGTGTTTGTGCGTTTGTCGTGCTTGTGTGTTGTGTTTTGTGTTTATGTGCCTTATGTGTTTTGTGTTTTGTGCGCTTCCTTCCTTCCTTCCTCCCTCCCTTCCTTCCTTCCTTCCTTCCTTCCTTCCTTCCTTCCTTCCTTCCTTCCCTGCTTCCTTCCTTCCCTCCTCCTTTCCTTCCTTCCTTCCCTTCCTTCTCTCCTTCTTTCTTTGTTTTTGCGGTTGCTTCTTTGGATATGTACTTCTTTGTTTGTTTTGGCTGTCATTATCTCCTTCTTTCTTTCTGTCTTTCTTTCTTTCTTTCTTTCTTTCTTTTCCTTTTTCCTTTTTCCTTTTTCCTTTTTCCTTTTTCCTTTCTTTCTTTCTTTCTTTCTTTCTTTCCTCCTTTCCTTCCTTCCTTCCTCCCTCTTTCTTTCTCCTCCTTCTTTTCTTTCTGACTTTCTGTCTTTCTTTCTTTCTTTCTTTCTTTCTTTCTTTCTTTCTTTCTTTCTTTCCTTCCTTCCTTCCTTCCTTCCTTCCTTCCTTCCTTCCTTCCTTCCTTCCTCTCTCTTTCTCCTCCTTCTTTCTTTCTTTCTTTCTTTCTTTTCTTTCTTTTCTTTTCTTTTCTTTTCTTTTCTTTTCTTTTCTTTTCTTTTCTTTTCTTTTCTTTTCTTTCTTTCTTTCTTTCTTTCTTTCTTTCTTTCTTTCTTTCTTTCTTTCTTTCTTTCTTTCTTTTCTTCTTGTTTTCCTTTCTGTCTTCTTTTTCTTTGCTTATTTATTGGTTTCTTTGTTTCATTGCCTGTTTATTGTTGTTTATTCAACGGCGATCCATGGGAATGGGCGTTTGAGGCTCAAATCATTTATCCGAGGTTCACTTGCGGATTTCCGTGGCCCCTTTGGCTTTTGCATTACACATAATTGCAAGCTGATGTGCGCCGACGCATTGAGCTACCAACATGCACAAGAAGAGAGTGACACTGATACTCGCACCAACAACCAAAAACGCACAAGCTCGCACGATCAACTTCCCAACCAAAGAATCAAAGCTCGCATTGACGGTGCCTGGCCCTGCACTTTTCTTGCGAGGAAACAGGTGGCCATGCAGTGCTCAGCCAATTGGCAACTTGATAGCCCAAACAATCACTAACTTCGTCAGCTGTGGAGCTCCTCAATGTCACCTCTTTTATGCCGTTCACAGAAATGATATTGAAGAAATGCAAGAGATTCCACCCTTCGAGAACCTGCCAAGCTGAAACCGAACGTTCCACAAAATACGATCTTGCAATGTCGATAAGTTTCAATGCTCTCGCATCAAGCTGGTCGCCCACTGCCTGTATTCAAGCTGCAAACAAAACAAGCGTTTGACGAATATGTCTTATCCTTTGCCGCAATGACTCTGGGCCTGAGCCGTTAGCAACGTTGGCCCGTTTCCGTGCGTGTGCCCCATTTTGTCACTCGCCGCTAAACCAAATGGAGCAAGCGTGCGCGGTGAAACTACATGGTAGCTCCCAATCTCCAACGCCCAGCCGATTAAGATCCTTTCCGGGGAGGACTGGAAGACTCCACACGGGCCTGTCTTTCCTTAGGGCATTCCCTTTTCTCCTTGTAAAGCGAAACTAAGGGGAAACCACCATTTGGGGGGGACCCCTAAAAACACACACACACACGCCCATATATATCTTTGTATTTCTCCGGAGCGCAACACCGGCCGTCAAGAGCAACTCGGAGGACCCAATTCAGCTCCGAAGGTCCTAGGGCGAGTCAGCTTGGAATCTCAATCCGTGCTACAGCTGAAGTGCGATGCGAGATAGTTCCGTTTTCCTCTGGAATTCGAACCAGCAACTGGAAGCCAAGAAAAGATGAAGATGCATCCATGGAGACAGCAAGCATGAAAAAAAGCGGCTCGAAGTGGCCCAACACATGAACTTACAAAGCCGCCGAGTGTCTGGCAGTCAGGAGCGTTGCTTCTCCTGCAGTATCCTGGCAAGCCCAATGTTTGGCTGCTCGCTTGCTTGCTTGACATTTCCAGCTTTTTGAGCTGCAGCAAGCGACAATTCATGGCTGCCGTTAGGTCACACTGATTAGCCAGCTAATACCTTTCACCACCCCATCGCTGATCACGAAAAGCCCTGCGATGCAAATATAATGTTCCCTGGTTCCAAAAAAGGTGAGTGGTCTGTGCGCATTGTGTCACCTCTGCCTGCCCCACGTTCTCTATCATGATCTATCATGACTCTCTTCTGGCGCTAGGTTACAGTAAGTCGCCGTTCGCCACAGATCGATCTCGCCAAACAGGCAAACCAGACAGGCAAGCATCATCTGAAGAACACTCGCTCAGAAGATGCGTCGTCCACCACCCTTGCAGCCGTTAGGGGAAACCAGCAAAAGCCACAAGGAGCGACACTGGTACTCTAAACTGCAACACAAACCAGGGGACTCTCCAAAATGCCCCTTCCCCTATGCCAGAAGAACCTCACGCGAACCTCACATGGCTGCCCGGCATCGCCTCCGCAGCTCTTCCTCTGTGAAGATGCCCGGCTGGGCCTGCACGGGCGCCGGGGCATTTCTCGCGTATTTTGCGTAGACCCGGGTATGGTGATCCGCCGTCCCTCCGTTTCCCAGGCCTAAGGCGTTGCCCGACATTTCTGGAATATATTGGACGTTGATCCGAATCGAGGTCCTTAAAGGGAAAGCAAAAGGAAACCAACCACCTGAAGAGTCCTAATTTTGAGAAACACGATGCATAGAAACCAGCACAAAGAGGAAATTCTGCAGGAAAACAGTTGTCCTTAAGAATATGATTGTATATATAGAGAGTGGGACGCCCTGTGGGGCCTGGTTTTACAGCGTTGTCAGCTGTTTGAGCCCACCGAAAAGAGTAATGTGAATCCATTCTGCTGCATCTGTGCTTAATTTGACCTGCGTAAGGTCTTCAGAAGTGTCAGATCTTGTCACCCCAAATAATTAAGAATCAGAGACCCCAATGACTTGCCAACATTAAAAGCCATGTAGCGGTACTTCCACCAAAAGTGGCATTACCTGGAAATGCATTCATTACAACTACTTGTGGCATGGCTTCTCAATTGGCTTGTGGGCTTGCCTTTTCAAGTTTCTGTGGTAAGAATACTTCTATCATCAGTTCACAGACTAGGTGGATGAGTGGCTCCACCCCTGACAGATCTTGATGCTCCCCCCCCATCATGTGGGACCTGGATGACTCAACCAACCATAGGTCACTACCTTCAGTTGCCAGAAGCCCCTTCTGGCATCAGAAACATTTGCTGGAACGAGAATCTTGGATTTCCACCTTGCATGCCTATAGCTCACCAAGGGGTTCGTGGAATGAAGGCCTCTGCAAGTTGTGGTGAGGCACCTTCTTTGTGACAGAAATGCACTTACTATAAGCTACCATGCTACCTGAGCTTGAGGATTGAACCTTTCCATTGGCCATGGATTGCTGGTAGCCCATATCGGGTGTTCTCTTCCCTTGATATGCTGAATTGCGTGCAGATCACGAGTCATAGTGCCAGTAGATCATGAAACGTGAGTGGTGAGGCAAACCACCTGCAAGTGGGCAACATTAATTTCTACCTCACCAGGGATAGGTTGTCGAGCTCCTATGTTTACTGGCGGCATGCAACAGTTGGCATGAGAGGATGTAAGAGAATAACTTATTCTACTTGCACCTCCCACAGGTCATCAACACAAGTTCTGATAAGTAGATCTCATAGTCAACAAAACCACATGTTCATAAAAACAAGAAACAATGGAACACAGGAATGCTCTGCACCACATGAGAAAAACAAGGCTTTTTGGTGGAAAACATGTCTAGTGCCAGCTAAAGCCTCCATGTTACCCATAGCAAGCTAGCAGCATGATGACGCTGCTGCACATTAGCCTAATGCTTGACACACACACACAAGGCTGTATGTCAAAGCCAGGTACACAGGAATATTCTATCCTGTCCTCCCCAACTGAATTACCTTTGGGAGTGTGATGCACAAGACAAGCCATGAGAATACTACACGCAACTGGGCCCACAAGCGAAATGCATAAACTGTGTTGTGCTAGAACTATAGCCTCAGTGCAACCAAGCCCTTTGTTGCTACAGGTGTTTGCTCACTAAAGGTGAAGGCAAAGCAGCAAATCAATGTCAGGGTGCTAGTTACAGATATATATTTGGCCGACCCCCCCCCCCTCCCATCTCCAGAAACCCTCGAAACTGAAACTCATGGCTTCGCGACCCCCCAAGATAAGCACGATTTTGACATGCTCTTGTTATCTAATAAGGACAAACAAGACAAATGGAGTTATCAAATGGAGGAACAAACCTCAATTCTGATAAATTTGCGTCACATGTCTGAAACCACCGCGTTTTCAGAAACACTGTAAAACAGGGGCCCCTATAGCGTCCCTTTCTGGATATATAAGAGGGTCCCAAATTATATTCACATCCATGTGAGGTTGTCTGACTCTGTTCATATTCAGTCTCTTGCTTATCTTGGCAGCAACCCATGCAGGCTGCATAAACGTCAAACATTCCGATTTCATGCTGAGGCGGGGGGTTGCACGCATGAGTACATGAAACATTGCAGCCATTGCTTTCGCCAAGCATGCGGTTGGGCACATCGAGCAAGCTGAGTTCGTCTCTCACTTGCCGCAATCTTTCAGCTTGTGTAGGTTTGCCGCTCCGAGATGGCACCGCTCACTTCAGTTGCCCGGCCAGAGGCGCAAGCCAACTAACCGCAAGTGGCTTGAGCAGGCCGAATCCACTGCAAGTGGTCGACATCCAATCCACAGGCAATATCGTCTAAACCTGCCTTTACAGCTGTGGGAGTGGTTTTGCCTGGGTCCCATCCTGCCTGCAGGATCTTGCAGCTGCCCTTCCGGCTAGGGGCACTGCGCGATGCAGATTGCACCTGCCCTCTGCTTTTTGTCCGGGTATTTGAAGTCTGGCCGTCGCGGGTGTCGCCGGTCGGGTGCGACCATGCCGGATATCTGCGCATCCCGGCCACTCGGATCCTGTGTGCCCGCGGTTGCCGTATCTCTGCCAGCTCCTCGTCTGTGATCTTCAGCACTTTGAATGCTTCCCTCACATCCTCTTCACGCGCATCTCCGCAGTCCTGCACTATGCTGTGATCGGCAGTCACGCGGGATGTGCGCTCCGAGGTGCCACCGCCCATTGCAGCTGAATCTGTGAAACTCAATCCCAGAGAGTAGGGCCAACTGGCAATAATGCATGATGATGGATCGGTGCTTTAAAAAGGAAAATGGAGGAGACCCCAAAAAGATTCAAAAGGCTTGAGACTGTGCAAGTGATGCCCATATCCAGATTTCAGAGATTGGCTGGAAATGGCCTTGGTATGAATGTAGCACATAGATTGCGTTGTGTCGTTGCGCTAAGACGTGTTGGGGTGCAATTTCAGGATCCTGCAAAAGCTCTGACTGCGCTGGTCAAGATGCTTGGGCACGTAAAAAGCTGATGGAGCTGAAAACACACATGGTTTGCCCTCTGAAACTTTGGAAGCAACCCTGCCAGGAGTGTGCCTCAGGATAGTTGACTCGCAGGAGTGTCAAACGGCCCTGTGCCCAAGCTACAAGCTTTGGAGCTGTTCATGGTGAATATGGGGTCTGACTCGAGCATTGCCTGTGACGACATCTGGGAACGTATGCTGGGCACGAGCCAAGTTCAGCAGTCCCAAGTTGAAACGATGAGATGGGCGAAGTGGGTTTGGACCTTGCCATGAAGGCTGGCCACTGGTGCTGAGATGGTTAAAGTTGAGCGATCCGTAGGGTGCGTGTGAATTCCCTTTGAATTCCGCTGCTCTGCAAATGATAATCCCCATGTCCAGGTACGGGTCGTTCTGACTTCTTACTCGTGATTTGTTTGGGCTTCTCCTGCTAATCAAGGTTGTGGATGCGGGTCATTCTTCCGAACACAATCAAACAAGAAGGAAATCGTGGTTCAAGGATATCAAAATCAGATGTGTCAATGGGAGGAAAGGTGCCAGATCTTCCCCGTTCCAGACTCCTCACACCCCTCTGGTTGTGTCGACGGGTCGTTCGAAGCTGGACGCGGGACAAACAGGTGTCACCACATGGCCTTTCTGCCTCTATGCTGGGATCGCCAGTGAACTCTAGCTGGCCACAGTCGCAAAAATACTCCGGGGCTTTCCTTGCTGGGGTAACTAGGGAAAGTCGAAAAGGCTGGTTCTGCACTGACCACCGGGCGCAAGCCACTTGCCTCCTCAGCCTTTGGCTTCTCCCACTCTGCCAGCTTCTGCAGCTGCGGCTGGCCAAAGCGACCAGAGCCTGAGATCAAAGGAGAGGGACATGCAACATCCGGATCTATCAAAGAGCACACTGGCAGGAAAGGCTGTTGATGGTGCTGGATCGGGCGGCAATGGCAACGGATACACAGCGAGCAGCCTGCCCAAGAATCATAAGGTTTGACAACTGTTTGTGGCAGAAGAACAGAAACTTGTATCACCGAGCCCAGGTTGCTCAATACTGCGACCAAAGACTCAAGCGTTTAAACCTGGCCATAAACAGGTCACCTGATGCCTTGCGGCTTGCTTCAGGAAATCGATGAAGACGTATTTCACGCCGCTTGCGGGCATCAAGTAGGCGGGCATCAAGTAGCCGAGCACAACGAAGAAACGGCAGTATGGAGAGACTGAATATCATGAGTAAAGTGGAAATCACTGCACCAGCTTGGCCAACCGCAAGTAGCAAATGGTGCATCAACAGCATGCACGCCATGTGTTCACCACGGAGAAAATTGCTCAGCTGCCGGCCCATGGTAGAGGGCGCCACACCACCAATAACTTGCTTCTGGCCGGCTGGCAACACGTAGCAGCGAAGCCCCCACAATGGGAAATATGCTAACACAAGATCCTGTGTTTCCTCTTTTGCATGTCTTCTCGCGTGCCTACAATGGTGTGCTTGTTGTTGTGTGTGGCCAGATTGTGCACATACGTCTGTGCGTGTGCCTGCTCATGTGCATTTATCACATTGTTTAACATGTTGAGTGCGCGTTTGTGAAAGTCTGAAAGTAGTACATGCAATTCATGTCCACTAGCCAGAAAGTGTCAGTCTAAGTATATGCCAGTCTATCTGTCTCTGCCTGCGCATCTGTGCGCACACAATGTGTCCTGTACTGCTTGTGTATCCTGTATCTCTTTTCTGATTGCAATGATACTCATTGGCGGACTCTTGGCTCGCAAATGCGAACAAAAGCTTTGAGAATGTCCTTACCGCTGCCGACACAGCCACACATACACAACGAGAACCTTGGATTGACAAACATTCTTACGACTCATATTAAAACACCCGCTCTGAGGATCTAAACGAATCCCAAACTTCACGTTCTCAAAATGTGTCCAAGCTTACCACTCATGAACATAGTGCATGGTTCAATGTGCCATGTCAAGATGACATGAAGCCGGGTGCAATCGAGTGCTACCACTTTCACTGGCTTCCTGGATCGCTGTCCATACTGATGAACGAAGTCAGATTCGCACCACCCAAGCCCGGGAATGGTCTGATTCTCTGTATATACCAACAAACAGTGGTTTCTCATGATTCCTTAGGTGGTGCAGGATTTCGTCCATCCACAGTAGCATCCCAAGCTGCCTGCGTCACCGAGTTCTCATCCTCCACCTCTTCACGCAGGCGCAGGTTTCTCCTTGAAACGTTCGCTCCAAAGCGACTGTACTCAGCCCCAGAGCGCGCTAATTCGCATTTACAACGAAACCGGGCAAGACGGTGTCCAACATGCCTTCTGTACAGCCACAGCTAGGCCCCGAATCATTTCGGCAGTGAGTATGATTTCCAGTGGTGTCTTAGATCTGTGCTGGATCTGTACTGAAGGAGTGTTCCACACCATACTGTCAAAAGAAACCAAGAAACAAACAAACAAACAAACCAAACAAACGGTCGTCAGCAACCTGACTGAAACATCGCGACATGTATGTAGTGGTCCTCATCGAATACTGGATCACTTGCGTGCAGTACTTGAGATAGTGCCACTTTCGGTAGTAAACCTGCGAACAGAACTGCTCACAAGAGACAGACTGCTAGGCTGTCTCTGATGGGTGGAAAGACTGGCAATCTAAGTTTGCAACTCGCTCTACTGTTTGTAGTGATGCTAGGGAGCCCCCCACCTGCGGGTTCCACTTTGAACATAAGAGGTCAAGGCCTCAAGATACTAGTGAACCAACAGGAACACTCCCATCCACCCCCCCCCCCCCCGGCTGTTCTGGGCAGACACCTTCATACTGAAGAACTCGTCCCGCCTGGTTGTGGCGGTCAACCACCCGAGCACGTGTCGGAAATTCTCGGCCTGGGCGAGGCTCAGGGAAACAAAACTGACTGTCAGGTTCAGGAGCACCATGGGGTTGGCCATGTCCCCTCATTGAAACGTGTGCAAAAGGCAAACCAGCGTGTTTCCCTCCGCTTGCTTGCCTACGAATTTAGCTTGTTGTTTGTTTTGCCCTTCTCTTCCCGTTCGGCTGACGCACTGCCGCAGCATGCTTGTTGCCACTTGCCTACCGCTTTCTTACAAAGCTCTGCGTGTTCGTAGGACGGTCTGTGACGAGCGTTTCAGCGTTGTCAATCTCTTCTGCTACAATGCGGCACTCTGCTAACTGAACATCCAACACCAGGATTGGTTGGCCTGTTGCTAGCTCAAAAGGCTGTGAGCCAGCAGACTCTGACTGCTGGATTGCTCGGCCTGCATCGAGCCTTTCCGACGCCTGGTTTAAGAAGGACCTACATACAAGGTGTCCACTCTCAACTCTGAGGAATCCCAGTCGTTCAGATATTGAGAACCTCCACTAAAGTCTCGTGTAATCGTGTATCACCTTAATCCACAAGCAGGACAGCAAGAGCCAAAGCACCCCATGTTCACCTTCCAACATGCCAAGTATGATCAAGTATGATCTGTCCTGCTGAGTACCAGATTTGGCAGCCACGCGCACAGTGCGTGCTGCCCTCTGGGTGTCGCCATTCTGCCGCGCCATGCGCTTCAGGAGGTTGAACTGCCTGCCAGTCTTCCAAAGCAATAGAAACGCTCGCCTTCCTGCTGATGTCTCCATCAACCCGCCTGGACATGACACTTCCCTGAACTGAAGCGGAAAGAAGCATTGACCTGCTGAGCAGGTCCCTGTTCAAAACCGAAACCGGAGCCCTCTCAGTGGTCAACTTGCAAAATCACTCAGGGAGAAAAGATGGTGATGCACCCTTGTCGCTTCTATCCAAGCCAAAAGTTCGGGATCTTCCAGCTTCATCCTGCAATCCTAAGTCCCCGACAACCAATCAGATCGCTGATCAGGCTTGCATATCCGAATGAAACACCCCATTTTTTTCAGGGGCCTGCGTCTTCGCGTCATCGCCCTTTCTGCACCCTCCCTCTTGATCGACATTGGACAGTTGCGATATTTCGCAGAGCCTTCATCTCGCCTGGCCTCAGCAGGTCATTCGGTCGATCCGCATCCACGGCAGTTGACGGCGCAATCCTCAGCAGAAAATCCGCAAGCAAAGCAGATTGCTGCAAATCAGCTACTGACTAGACCGCAATCAAGCTGAGCTGTCACGTCTAACTCTTTCATTGCGGCAAAAGCCAACAAAACAGTTGCCAGCCAAAACTGAAAGCATTGCAGCCCCTTCCCAAGTTAGCCATGCTTCACTCACACTCCATGAACATTCCTTCTGAGCGTTGAAAAAAAAAGAGGAAAAACAAGCCACACAACTTCCTAGAGCGCCCTACGTGAATGAATGCTCTTGAAACTCATCTAGTTGCTCTGGGTCGCCCGGCATGTCTCGCGGGCGGGGATTGAAGAATTCTGGCCAGGCGCTTGGCTACAAGCGAAGCCCTGCATGTCACAAGCCCTCAAGAAAAAGACGAGTGCATAACTCACAATGAATGCATGAATGCATGAATGCATGAATGCATGGATGCATGGATGCATGGATGCATGGATGCATGGATGCATGCATGCATGCATGCATGCATGCATGGATGCATGGATGCATGGATGCATGGATGCATGGATGCATGGATGCATGGATGCATGGATGCATGGATGCATGGATGCATGGATGCATGGATGCATGGATGCATGGATGCATGGATGGATGGATGGATGGATGGATGGATGGATGGATGGATGGATGGATGGATGGATGCATGGATGGATGGATGGATGGATGGATGGATGGATGGATGGATGGATGGATGAATGGATGCATTCATGCATGAATGAATGAAGGACGGAATGACCGAAGGAATAAAATGAATGAGGCCAATCCAAGTAGCTGTGAAGGCATTTGCTTGACCGCTGACTCAACCATGCTTGGTAGCACTGCGGCAAATGCCGGACAAACGCAGCGCCATGGCTCACAGTTTGCGGAGTGGCTGACGCCTGGTCCTGTGTTACCGCTTGTGCAGTTCAGGGCAAATGCCCCGCAACACTCTATTCAAACCTCTTCCACTGCAGAGACAAAGCCAGAGACCCAAATCACATGCCAATCTGGCGTGGGTACTTGCCCGACTCTCCGGTGTGGCATGCTTTCAACTGGGTCTCTGAACAGCGCTTGGAGCCAAGGGCACGAAACGAATTCTAGACAGAGGTTGACAGCAGCTTCCCCCAAAAGAAAGCAAGAAGGGAAATGCCTGAAAGCATGTCAAGAATGTTAAACACTGTCATGCCTTGCAAAGTTGCAGATTTGCAGCATGGGCCGTCTTGATGTTGATCAAAGTTTAGGCTACATTGCCCCGAGCTTGTGATGCTTGATTGGGTGGGTCTTGAAGCAGCCTGGAGACACAGAATCCTGTGAGTCTTCCACTGCGTGCCCTTTCTCAAGCCAGAAGACCTGCTCCAGGCGAGCCCAGAAAAATGGTTCTTTTCCACCGCTTGATGACACTTGATGACACTTTGTTTCATGGCCCTGCACTTTCAAGCGGACGACCGTGTTCCTACAACATCTGGCACAAATCCCAGATCGTTGCGTGCTGCCACCACGAAGTCCAAGTTATCTGACAGCTCGTTGGCCTTGGGTGACTCTGGCAGGCTTGATGAAGTGTCCATCAAGGCATCTTAGCTGGTTGCATAGCCATTGTGCACTACCTCACAACGGTTCTAACTCTTGGTGCATCGAGGAGCGACTAGCTGAAAAGATGCTGGTCAGGCTCTTGGCCCGAGTTTCCTGCAATCCTTTTTCCTCATGCTCAGTCCAGTGAAACGCCGAGAATTGGCATCAGCTGTGAGCCGGGGGTTGCATGTTGGTACATGACGTCTAACAAGCGCCCAGAAATTGCTCTGCCCCATGCTGGGAATTGATCGGTGTTCGTCAACTGGTCTGTTCAAACAGTTAGCTTGCTTGATCATGTCATTGATGCTCGCAGCTTCTCATAAATACATTCCCGGACTGTCCATGCAATGCGTTCTGGCTCCAAGTCCCCAAATCCGCCGACCCCATGCCTGGTCCAGAATGGACCATGCTTTCGGCATGGGGGCGGTGTGTTCTGTGTTGCTTTTGTTGATATGCTTTCTATAAGTTTAATGTGAATATGATTATGTAGATATATATATATATATATATAACCTATATGTCCCTTGGGGCGGCCCTTGGGGCTGGTTTCTACGTCGGCTGGATTTCTGGATTTCTGGATTTCTGGATCTCTGGATTTCTGGATTTCAGGAATTCTGGATTTCCCCACCCCTCCCCCCCCCTCCCCCACCTCCCCCCCCCCAGTCCTTCCGTAGTCTTCCGTAGTGTTCCGGCTTCTTCCCGTAGTCTTCCGTAGTCTTCCGGCTTCTTCCAGTAATCTTTCGTAATCTTTCGGCTTCTTCCCGTAATCTTCCGTAGTCTTCCGGCTTCTTCCCGTAGTCTTCCGTGGTCTTCCGCCTTCTTCCCGTAATCTTCCGTAATCTTTCGGCTTCTTCCAGTAGTCTTCCGTAGTCTTCCGTAGTCTTCCGGCTTCTTCCCGTAGTCTTCCGTAGTCTTCCGTAGTCTTCCAGCTTCTTCCCGTAGTCTTCCGAAATCTTTCAAGCTTCTTCCCGTAAATTTCCGCAATCTTTCCGGCTTCTTCTCCTAGTCTTCCGATACTGTTTCGGGACCAAACAACGCGCGTGTCCTGTGCTTTCGGGCTTCTTCCCTAGGCTTCGGGTAGTCTTCCCCCACCCCTCGCCCCCCCCTGTGTCTGTCTATGTCTGTCTACGTATCTGCATCTGTCTTCGTGTCCGCGAAGACCCCCCCTGCCCCTGCGTGTCTGTCTGCGTCTCTTTGTGTCTGTCTGGGTCTGTCTGCGTCTGTCTTCGTGTCCGCGAAGACCCCTTGCGTGTCTGTCTCTGTCTCTTTGTGTCTGTCTGTGTCTGTCTGTGTCTGTCTACGTATCTGCGTCTTTCTTCGTGTCCCCCCCCCCCGCGTGTCTGTCTGTGTATTTGTGTCTGTCTGGCTCTGTCTGCGTCTGCCTGCGCATCTGCGTCTGTCTTCGTGTCCGCGAAGACCCTCCCCCCCCGCTGCGTGTCTGTCTGCGTGTCTTTGTGTCTGTCTGTGTCTGTCTACATATCGCGTGCTTTCTCTCGTCCCGGGCCGAAATTCTAAGGTGTGTGGGGGCGGCGGAACCAGGCCGCAGGCCATTAAATACCACAACCTAGGTCCATGCGATTTGCAGGTGCGTGGACTTGTCCGGGATAGCGCCTCCTGCCCTTGAGGCAGAGCTACGCGACTGATGCGGCTGCTCTAGAATCAGCCGTACCTCACATTGAAGTCCTGTGCTTTGCATCGCCCCCAGAATACAAACAAAGACTGCCCTGCTTGAAGAGGAGGCTGATGTCATCCACTTCATTTCCATGAGTTTCCATGGGCTGTTGCTTGCAACTGCCTCCATCAAGGCAGATGTTTGCAAAGAGCGTAATCTTGCTGTAGAGAACTCTGTCACTGGCAATCTCGCAGTACCCTATGATGTGGCTGCCGAAATGGATTCTGCTGCAGCCCAGGCTCACATGGAACCTGCCTCTGACGCCTAGTGCGGAGCAGCGACGACTGAGGTTTGCTGCACGAGTCTGGTCTCTGCAATCGATCGACCAGAAAAATGCATGTAGCAGATCTCCCGCCCTTCGCCAGCTCTGGGAACCCCTGCCAAAGGCGTGGCCACGCGCGTCAGCGGCAAACTGCCCAGGCCCGACCTCAAAGCAAGCGAACAGCACACAGAAGCACCTCCCCGAAACCAAAATCAGAGTTCAAAAGTGACAATCAAGCTTACCAAAAAAGGAAGTTTAGAAGGACCTTCCGCCTCACGGACTCTGAGTACAGACGTTCTTGCACGCAAAGAAGATGAAGAAAGAATGAAATCAGGCGAGAAAACATGAGCGCGCGTGCGGCGCAGGAATAGACATCGCGAAAAAGAGTGACACTGTGCCGGTTGTTGCCTTTCTCGGGGGCTGAAAGCTACTTTGGTCGCGACGCCTGACGGACGGCGGGCTCGGCAGGGTCTCGGAACGGGGGGATCAGGCACAGGCCTATTGGCACGGACGCCCGCACATTTGGCGATGTCAGTTTTGCGTGACAGGCTGAGGTGTAGATTTCGTGGCATGCGCGGCGCAGATTGCGCGACAGGCGCGGCATTTTTGCAATGGTCCACGGACGTACAAACTGGCAAATGCAGATTTCGCATCAGGCGCGGCACTTGTGCAAAATCAAGTACAGCTTTCGTGGCAGGCGCACCACTTTCGCAAGGTCAAGTCCAAGCTTCGTGGCAGGCAAAACACATTCGCAAGGTCGGGTACAGATTTCGTGGCAGGCGCAGCACTCTCGGAGCACAGATAGATAGATACATAGATAGATAAATCAACCAATTCATAGATAGATAGATAGATAGATAAATAGATGGATAAACAGGAGAGACGAATGGATAGCTAAATAGATAGATATCAACAAATGAGCATATATATATATATATATATATATATCTGTCCGGCGCTACTGGTATTTCTTTCACCAAAGGGTTCCTTCCTACACTTTCCTTCCCAGTGCAAGGGAGCCGAGCCCCCGACACGCTCGGGCTTGGCGGTGGCAAGGACATAGGCGGCAACGGGGCCTGGCTGCTTCCGCGCGCGCGCCCTAGCGCGCTGCCATAAGCTTTGTTTTGCTTGATTCTTCAAAGCCTAGTTTTTAGTTTTGCACGAAACATGGTAGTACTAATTAGGTGATGAGTAGTCGGCTAAGTCTAATTCTGCTCGCTTGTCAGTACGGCATCATCTCGATTGCTGGGCACCATCCCGGCGACGGGACTGGAAACAATGCACGCCAGCTATGCTTCAAGTGTTGCTTTTGGTAGACCCCACCGTGCAGCGCGGCACGGTATGATGTATTGGCCCTGCAGTGCGACCCAGGCCCCTTTTAAATCACCAATTCCAGAAGCTCTCTTGATGCTGCTAGCTTGTCGAAGGGGGCTTTTGATTCTCCTCTGCCAAAGTCGCATGATGAAGACCAAGTGCTTGTGTCACGCTCTTTGCATGTTGTTCAAGTCATATCTTGCTTCACCGCAGAAAATGGCTGTGTAAGGATACTGTGGACCCTTCACCCGGAACAGTTCTTGCTCTAGCCCCTCTCCCTGGAGTGCAAGGCTCAAAGCTTTGCAGCCTGCTTTGTGCGACCCTTTCAACATGGTCAACGGCATGCGCAACTTCCCCTCCTGGCCTGCGCTGGATACTTCTTCCCAATGGAGCCCAGCGGCACACGCGAGATGTTGATCTCGCTGGGCTCAAAGACGGGCCTGGGCCCAACATGTGCCCCATGTTTCACTCATGAAAAAGTGGACGCAGCGTAGCCGCGGCGTAGCCAACCTACCAGTCGATTGCCGAAGCAGTTGAGCTGCTATTGAGGAAGACTGATCAGGTCCTGCTTTTCCCCATACGCGCATTGCTACAACAACCAATACCCGCAGAACTTGCTTACAAAAATGTCTGGTAGAGAATTGGCAATGTGGGTTGGGTCTTTGAACTCAAGCGTTGGCAACCGCAGCTAAGCAGGTTTCTTGTTTCTTCTCTTTTATCTCCACGCAAGATGCCCAAAGCTATCTCCGATCCGCCGAACCAACGGCTTGGGCTCCCCGGCTTCTGCTTCGGAGGCCGCCAGAGCCGAGCGTTCTCCTCACAGGGCAGCCGTGGGCCGCGCAGCCAGCGCCACTCAAAAATGGCTGTGGGTCAAAAATTGGGTCATCCAAAATGGAACCCTGGTGAATGGACACATGGACTAAAACCTGCGGTCCCCTGGTGGCTTAATTTTGGCCCATACCCAAATCAAGAAGGAAGCCCTCGTGCGCTGCGCATCTCCTGCAGATCAAAGTGCAGGTTGGAGGTGCTGGTGTGCTCCCTGCAAGGAAGAATTCCCAAAACGGGTGCTCGGTATCGAGTTGCTAAGAATGCATGGCTATGATACATACGTAGTGTTTAACCAAGATGGCTACGTGAGCGTCGCAAACTTCCGTGCCAAAACATGCGCAAACTGCTGAGGTATGGCCACCCAGCTACAAGCCGCTCCAAGCGCTGTCTGCCCTTCGAACTGGAACCAAACCAAATGTAACTAGTCAGCAAGGAAACTGCCCACATCTCCGATCCAAGACAGCGTGCCGCACACCTCGATGTCCGTTTCCCTGATCAATTTCCGCGGATATGAGGCCCGGTACGCAGGGTTGTGTAAACAACACATGACGCATGACCAAACATGACTTTCATGGATAAAGAGCCTCGTCTGCTGGCGACGAAGGTACTCCAGCGATCGTACCTGCAACATCTTGGGCAATTGCTAGAGATATTTCTAAGAGAATCTCTAAGATAGAGCTGTGAAGAAACGCAACATAGCATCTGAGCTCATCTGTCCTTTGTCCCCTTTCAGTCCCTTGGAGGCCAATCCTGTGAGACTGTCTTGACGAGACTCCCTTGTGAAGCTTCATTTTCTTCAACAGTTTGCCAGTCGACTGTCAATGAAACGCGAGGACTTTCTCACACAACGAGAAAGTGAAGGGCAGCTTTCTGGTCTCTTTGTCACGGGGAATCGAATACTGCTGGTACCATCCCTTCACAATGTCCCAAGGCTTGGTCTCCTGAATGAATACCGAATATTTATACCTGATCGTTGGAGTGTTGAGATCGCCCAGCGTCACCACATGCGCTGCTTTCACATGTGCCAGGTTGAGATATCCAAGGGCGGTTTACGGACCTCAACCCTGTGTCACCTCAGCAGCCTTCAATCGAACCGGAAGGAGTGGCTCCCGCCATGCCAGAGAACTGCTCGCGCTGCTCTCGGGGAGCCGTCTGCAGGAACCTGCCAGACACGTGCAGGGTTGTCAATTCATAGACACTCTGGGTTTGTCTTGGTGGGTCTGCCAGCGGCGCATGCTTATCCAAACCTGGTTTACGAGCTTATCCAAAGATTCCTTGGGCTGTGCAAGGCAAACAAATCATCATGAAACATCTCTTGCCACCTCCACCACGCTTGATCAGTGACTGCATGCTCTGCAACAGGCCTCAATCAAGCCGCCAGGCCAATCAAACAAACCAGGCAACAAGGAGCTGTTACACAAAGGATTCAGCAAAAATAAAAATAAAATGCAACTATTGACGCGCACGCACACTCACACAATGCTGTCCTGTTAATGAACTCGTGCTGGTTGCCATGGAGCACTTTCTCGTACATCTTCTTCGGGAGGTTGGCGCTCGCGTCAGGAGTGCCGAACTGATCCTGCAGCAAAATGAGACGAGCCGGGTCAAACCGCCTTCAGCCAACGAAGAGCCCGCTTGCACGCGCATGGTACTACAAGACATAAGCATCTAGCAGTTGAATTGTCAAGTCATCCACCATTACGAAGGCACCTCAGGCACATGTACTTCAGGGGGAAGGGATTGCATGCAGCCGAAAGCTGCTACGGCGAAGGGTGCTACATTTTCCGTGCAGCCTGTCACTGCGTGGCCAAGAGGGTCACAATCGAAACCTGGTACTG